TCAGAGGACATCATCATTCTAAAGAGACCCAACTACTTTGAGAATATTTTGTGCACTGCCAGTTGAGTTATAAAATAATGCCATGTCACTAAATGGCGTTTAATTTTTGTGTAGTACTATAGCACAGCGGTAGGGCATTTGCCTTGCGTGCAGCCAGCCCGGCCGAGCCAGGTTCGATTCCACTGCCACTCTCGGAGAGCCTGGCAAGCTACCGAGAGTATCTCACCCGCACGGCAAAGTCTGGCAAGCTACCCGTGACGTATTTGATATGCCAAACACAGTAACAAGAAGTCTCACAATGGTGACATTACTGGGCCTGCTCGAGCAATTCGATGAACAACGAGAGGACAGTGACAGTGACAGTGACAGTGACTATTGCTTAAACCCAGGACCTCACCTCACACATGCAGGTCATAGATTCTACCTCTGAGTCACAATATTTACCATCAAAATTTATTTTAAAGATGCATGCTTTTTGGCCCAGGATTCCTTTCTGAGGGATATCTAAAGGGGGGAAAAAACAGCTATTCTAGTGCACAACATTCTAGGCCCTAGGATTTTGGAGAAAATATAGCTACCCGCTAGTAGATCAACCAAGCCAAATATTAGAAACTTCTCATTTCATTTCTAACACGCAGAGTTTGCTAGTTGATACTCTTGCCATTCAAGAAAAAGCTGAGAATACTGAAGATCAGTGTCTTTTCTTGAAAACAGCAGATAAGTGAGATTTTTGAGTGAATTGTCACTCTGAAATCTAGAGATATGGGTGATTCCTGAGAGCAAAGAGTAGCTTTGTCTGTAGTAGAAGCCCAATAACTAGTAGATACATGGTGAATGGTTTTGATAAGTTGCTATAGGTTAAGTGTAGATTAGGGTGAGAATGAAAAATTCTGGGATTGTTTTAGGAATCTGGAAGACTCTGAACTTCTGTAGGACTTACAGGAAGTAATATATTGAGTTCTTATGAGAATAATACCTCCACTTATCAATTGTGTTGCATAATGTGCTCAGAGCCTTCACTTTATGAAGGCTTATTTTCCAAGAGAAATTACTTTCCAGAGTCCTGTATCAGCTGTGTGATGAACATGTCATTTCCCATTCAAGCCTCTAGCATTGTACATCACCTAATGAAGGGATTTGGAAAGGAAAAAAAAAAAAACAAACATGAAGGACTTCAAGAAAATAGATCTGAAAAACTAATGCCCGGGAAAGGAGCAGAGGGTGAGAATTTTAACCTAGCCCACTGAAGAAATATTTGGAGAGAGAGAAGAAAAGAGCCTGCAATAGAAGCAGGCAGGGGGTGGGGTATGAGGGGTGATGGGAGGGAACCTGGGGACACTGGTACTGGAATATGGTATGCTTGAGGAGGGTATTAGAATACTGTACGACTGAAATCCAATCATGAACAGCTTTGTAAGGATCTATCTCACAGTGATTCAATAAAAAGGTTTAAAAAAAAAGAAAGAAATATTTGGTAAGGTCACAATTCAGAGATATAGAACCACTAAAAGCCTAAGATCTAATCCCAAAATTTTAGTACTCTAGTATAATAACAGCTCCTAAGAAGATGAAGGTAAAACCTCACACTGAAGTCATATTGACGTCAGTTACTATTGCTTGGAGTATGAGATCCAGTTTTCATCAGAGTTGTTGGAGGGAAGTTGCAGAGGGGCCAGAAATAGTGCAGCAGTTGGGGTGCACATCTAGCAGTGCTGAACAAAATTTGGCTCCTTGCATGGCACGGTCTCCAAGCACCACACACTGGCAGAGACCTTGTGGGCCTCAGAACCCCATATGCAGAGGCATAGCATCCTCGGCCCAAGCACTGAGCACTGATCAGTTAGCAGTGTTAGTATGGTTAAGCCGGGGACTATGGGTTCCCAAGTGGTGAGACGGACAGAAACGTGAGCACGATAATACAAAAGCAGAAGGAGTTTTATTCCAGTATACTGGGATCAGCTCTCTCACCCACAGAGCGGTCTCTTGATAGTGACCCCGACCTTCAAGTGCAAGCAGTTTATATAGGGTTTGATTACATAAGCAGTACATGCCTTATTGTTTCAGAAAAATCTGACTTAGTTACTAAACGGAGGTGTTTCGGCAAGTGTCTAGGGTATGTGTTGGACTCTGATAGGCTTGTGGTTGCTGGGTACATTCTCCATGGTTTCTGGCACATTGTGATTGATTGAGCCCACTTGCCCATTTGCTGGGCCCAGGAACATTCCAAGGGGGTTCAGGTTGGCTAGTTACACATTGTTTCATTGCTGGGAAACTGAAACTATTTCAGTTCCCATAACTGAACCTGAGGCCCAGCTGATTTTGCTGATTTCTGCCCATGTCATGGAGTCAGTTTTGCCCATACAGTATGAGTATTTCCAGTAGCTCCAGAAGTCTACTTGAGATTCCCCCCTCCCCCAAAAAAAGTTTTTAGAGATGTTACAATGATTAAAAATAAAGAGAAAATAAAGTCTTCAGTCTCAGATATAACATGTAATGAAGTCATCAAGTAACTTAAGAATAACTAAGATTAATGTGAAGAATATAACTGGTAAATTAGATACTGTGTGGAACAAAAAAGATAGTTCAGTGGGCTAGAGCATAAGCCTTCATATTCTGAAACCCTGGATTGATCCCCAGCACTTTCATGGTCTACCAGGAACAACTTTGAGCACTGTGCTGAGAGTAGTCCTCAAGCAATGCCAGATGTGGTCCAGAAACCAAAAAAAAATGGATTATCTTTGAGATGTTTATAAGACTCAAAATAGAGGAGAAGAAGCAGTGAGCTTTCAGGTAAGGAAGAGACTTTCCCAAAGAAAAATGCCATGATTTTTTTTTTTAAAAAACGAGCAGGGAAGTAGTTGGAACAGAACCTCCAAGAAGTATAAACAATTCTATACCTGCCATTCTCCAGGTGCTGAAAATCTGGAAGAAATGTACTCAGAGCAACTTGGATAAATTTTAAAAACATGTTTCTGAGTGGGAAACACACACACACACAACACATACACACATAAAGTGTCTGAGCGATGCCTCCATGGCTAAAAGCACCTGCCTTGCAAGCCTGAGATCATGAGACCAGTGCGTGCGTACATGTGCCAAATGCAGCACTAACAGCTCCACTGTCTGCCATACCAGTGTCACAAGCATGTGTAATGCCCAGCACCTCGCCATCTTGAGCAAGCACTGCCACTAGCCATGCCCATGCGCCACAGCCAGATGTGCTGCCCCAGTGAGCACTCAGCCAGACCATAGCAGAGCCACCACTAAAGAAGTGTGACCACTGAGCCAGGGGGAGGGTTAGAAAAGGGGGGATGTACTGGGGGCATTGGTGGTGCAGAATGTGCACTGGTGGAGGGATGGGTGTTTGATTATTGTATGACTGAAACTCAAACATGAAAGCTTTGTAACTATACCTCACGGTGATTCAATTTAAAAAAAAAGAAGTGTGACCCCCCAAAAGTATATGCAGAGGCACCAGAAGCATGTACAATCCCTGTCAGCACAACAGTGGTGAAGGGCAAGGAAAGAAGGAAGAAAAACAGTATGTATTTACATCAGCTCAAATTGCAGTCACCGAGAACAATGTACACTTCTTAAGACTATGTAGGAATCAAAAGGTGTCTATTAAACACATTGAGTAGCTGCCTGTGGTGATTAGGAGTAAGTGGAGGCTGGAGTGACAAAAGAAATTTTCAGAAATTTACATAGAATAAAATTAAAGTACCCACCTCCTTAACTCCCAACTCTGCCTCAGCCAGACCCCAGCATTGCCCACGGCTGCTATTCAGAGCTTTTCCACACTCTTCTGTACCTCTCCTTCCCAATTAAACTTTACTTTTCTTCTAAGACCTCTGATATCATTACCAGTTTCTAATTTTTTCAGTCACTTATGGCATGTCCTACTTCTCTTCCTTATTCATACCCGCCTTTTCTCGTTCTGAACCTCCCAATTAAATATTGTCCCTCCCTTCACGTTCCTTAACCCCCTCCTCTGGAGAGAAACTCGGTTGAGAGAGAAGGAACCACTATGACAATGATCACCTAGGACAGGAACTGAGTGCTGAAAGTAGGTAAAGGGATATAGCAGATAACCTTTCAGTATTTGTATTGCAAACCATAGTGCCCGAAAGGAAAGAGAGGGAGGGGGTGGTGCCTGCCGTAGAGGGGGCGGAGAAGAGAGGTGTGGGGCAGGGTGGGGGGGAGATCTGGAGACATTGGTGGTGGGAAATGTTCACTGGTGGAGAGACAAGTGATGGAACATTATATGACTGAACCCCAATAATGAACAACTTTGTAACTATGCATCTCACTGGATTTAATTAAAGAATAAATAATTTTTTTTTTTTAGGAAATAGGGTGCTGGAGTAATAGCACAGCGCGTAGGGCATCTGCCTTGCACGCAGTTGACCCGGGTTCAATTCCCAGCATCCCATATGGTCCCCTGAGCACTGTCAGGAGCGATTCCTGAGCACATGAGCCAGGAGTAACCTCTTTGCATCGCCGGGTGTGACCCAAAAAAACAAACAAAAAAATGGTAAAAGGGGCCGGAGCAATAGCACAGCAGGTAGGACATTTGCCTTGCAGGCAGCCGACCCGGCTTCCATTCCCAACATCCCATATGGTCTCTCCGAGCACTGCCAGGAGTAACTCCTGAGTGCATGAGCCAGGAGTAACCCCTGTGTATCACTGGATGTGACCCAAAAAGCAAAAAGCAAAAAATAAATGAATTAATTAAAATAATAAAAAAATAAAAAATTGTCAAAACTAGTCCAGAAAGACCTTGGCTTTTTCTGTCTGCTTTCTCCCGTTTCTCTCTCTCCTTCCCTCTCTCCTCCCACTTCTTTTTCCTCTTGTTCTGCCATGGAGGTCTTCTGAGCAGCCCTGAGGGCTTTGTGCTTGTCCAGGTGAAGCCAGTGACCAGGCCAGGACTCCCACCTAGCGCTCCTCCCCTTCCATCCGAATGTCAAAGTCCAGCCTGCCTGTCTGTGCGCAGAGGAGCCCTTCCTGCCTCAGGCTGCCCAGAGATTTGCTTCTTGCTGGGAGACATGACTCTAGCCTGGAGACGTTTGCCTGGAGCTTTACACCTGCACCACTCTGCTGCCAGGATCACTAAGACACGTCCATTCCGGAGTGGTGAGTGGATAGCAGGGGGCCGTGGGTAAGCGGAGAGCTGGTGATAATGGGGACTGACAGTCCAGAGACGGTTGCCTGGAGCTGTTAGGCCTGACTGGGTTCTGAGAGGGGGCCTCAAACCTAGGGTTTTCACCCTGTGAGATGCAAAGCCTTCTTCTCCTGGGTGACACTTGTCCATGCCCTCCTTTATTGAGAAATGCAACTCTTGGATACTTTGATTCTGCTCTGCGCAGGACCTGAAAATTGAAACGATGTGGTAGCTTAGCTGTAATATGAAAGAAAAAGAAAAGAAAAACAATACAAGATAAGGGATCAAATTCACTTAGTAGATGCTCAAGGATGCACAGCACTGTAGCACTGTCCTCCCATTGTTCATCGATTTTCTCGAGCGGGCAACAGTAATGTCTCCATTGTGAGACTTGTCGCAACTATTTTTGGCATATCGAATACACCACGGGGAGCTTGCCAGTTTCTTTCGTTTGGGCGGGATACTCTCGGTAGTTTGCCGGGCTCTCTGAGAGGAAACGTGGAATCGAACCCAGGTTGGCCGCATGCAAGGCAAATAACCTACCCGCTGTGCTATTGCTCCAGCTCAAGGATGACAACTTAAAAATTTATCAAGCATCCTCACGCATTTCTGCCCTCACTGTTGGTGAGGAAACTGGGGCTTGAAGTAGCACCATTTTTCCCCTCCAGAACCTGAACTCTCTCCTTCCACCTTCCGCTCACACTCTTCTCTCTCTCTCTCTCTCTCTCTCTCTCTCTCTCTCTCTCTCTCTCTCTCTCTCTCTCTCCCCCCTCTCTCTCTTCCCCCCCTCCAGAGATAATGGCAATGTGAGGCAGACCGGGGAAACCAGCCTTAGTTCTTCACATCCCTCTTGTTTTATTCGTGTTTCATCTTGTTTCACTAGAACTCCACCCGCTCACCAACTTCTCACCCTAAACAGGCAGTAAAGATCATTTTTCATTCCCCATAAGGATTATTTTTGTCTTCCTTTACACTCTTTCTTTCCTTTTTCTTGTTTCTCCTTCCTCTGCTCTTTGTATATTCCAATAACTGCAATTCTTTGAGATGACGCCCTCGATCTACTGCTTTAAGTGCATTATCTCCCCATTTATCTGCAACCTGACTTTTGAGAGAGTTCTGTGATCTCCTTTCACAGATGAGAAGGCACAAGAATTAAAGAACTTGGTCATGGGGTATGATGCAGCCACGGGTCAATCTGTACCTGTGAGGCAAGTGCATCAGCAGCCTGATGGTGCCTTCAGACTTACAGATAACCCCAAATTGCTGCTGTGCCTTTGGCCAGACCTCAACAACTTGGGGCCAAGTTCACCAAGAAAGTAAACGGCCAAAAGTTAGGTATGTGGGAGACACACCCACAAACCACCTTTGGCTCAGCTATATAATTGGAGGCAAGGCCTCTCTGGTTCCTGATCAAACTGCTTAATGGCCATGATCCCAGAGACTCAGAAACAATTCTTGGAACCCAGAAGCTTTTGGCAGAAATACGTCCAGTCCCCACAGTAGGTTACCGGTGCCAGGCCACGCCAGGAGGGAAAGGGTGCTGTCCCTCTGCCTGCTACCCCTTGATGGCTTGGTGGCCACCATTCTCCAGAGGGCATTGAACAGTCACTTTTGGGCCCACAGTGACGAGTCACGCAGGGCCTCACGGGATGGAGGTAGAGCCGGCTCTTTCCTCCCTGCCTCAATGAGACCCTAGGTCACTGCCCACGAATGGCCTCTCTGGCTCCTGATCAAGCTGCTTAACGGCCATGATCCCAGAGACTCAGAAACAAATCTCGGATCCCAGCGGCTTTTGGCAGAAATGCATCCAGTCCCCGCAGTATATTACTGGTGCCGGGCCACCCCACATGGGAATAGGTTTTGTGCCTTGACCTGTTCCCCCTGGCGGTCCAGTGGCCGCCATCCTCCAGAGGCCACTGGACAGTCAGGTTTGAGCCCACAGTGACGAGACAAGTGGGAATTAACAGGATGGAGGTGGAGCAGGCCCTTTCCTCCCCCCACCACTGAAACCCTCAGTCGCCGCCCACAAATGGCCTCTCTGACTCCTGATCAAGCTGCTTAACGTCCATGATCCCAGAAACTCAGGAACAAATCTCAGAACCCAGCAGGTTTTGACAGAAATGCCTCCAGATTTAATTGTTAAAATTTCAGAATTCCAAAATCATATGTTATTCATAACCAGCAATAGAAAACAAATCGCCTATGGTTGTGTTTTCAGCAGATCTGAGTGTTGGGGTAAAATACCAAATAATAATGGTGGGTCTAGTGTCAAAATATTGAATGTAATCAAAATAGAGAGGGAGTAATGTGGAAATCATCTGCCCCACAGGTAGGGGGAGGGTGTGGGATGGGGAGTATACTGGGGATTTTTGGTGGTGGAAAATGGACACTGGTGAATGGACGGGTGTTTCATCATTGTATAACCGAGACTTAAACCCAAAAGCTTTGTAACTGCTCTCACAGTGATTCAATAAATAAATTTAGAAAAAAAATTTAGAAAAAAAAAGTTTTAACAAAGTAAGGTAGAGTTCATGCCCAATTCAATCCGCCTAATCAATGACTGAATAAATAACAATACTACTACATTTAAAAAAATAGAACTTGGACAAAGGCAGAAGCCAATAAAAGACAATGGAATCCAGAGCAAAGACCATATGATGTCAAATTTAGCACCATGCCCCTCTCCAATCCCTTTCCCATGCTATCTTCCTTCTTTCCTTTCTGACCTCTTTTCCTCAGTCATAAGTCTCACCAGAACATCTTGGAAGCCCAAGAGTTCCCAAACAAGACTTGAATCATACCCAGCATCTTATGCTCAGCAAAAGGCATGTTATATATTATATTATTAACATAATTATATATTATGTTGTTGACAGCAGAGAAAAGGCATACCCTGACTTTTTGACTGCTCTGAACCCTGAACATTGTGAAGTGGGACTGGTACTAGGTGGTACTAGGTGTCTTAGAAATAGCAGAAGAGGCGCATATGCTGCCCAAGCCCAGTTGCTGCTTGTGCCCACGTGACCAAACACATGTGGTGCCTGAGCACATGTGTCGCCCACATCTCCCCTCTTGAGATGTGTGCTTTCATGCTTTCATGTCTAATGCTGGGATGTGTCTAGGGGCTCTCTCCACCCTTGGAGAAACCCACAATCTCTCCTGAGCATCTCTCTCTCTCTCTCTCTCTCTCTCTCTCTCTCTCTCTGTCCCTCAAAAACCTTTCAAACAAAATCTATTTATCACTGTTATCACTGTTATCACTGTCCTCCCGTTGTTCATCGATTTGCTCGAGTGGGCCCAATAACATCTCCATTGGAGACTTTGTTGTTACTGTGTTTGGCATACTTCAAAAAAATAAATTTTTTTGAAGAGGGGTGGAGAGATAGTATAATGGGTAGTGCACTTGCCTTGCAAATGGCTGACTTAGGTTCAATTCTGTGTATCCCATATGGTCTCCCTGAGCTCCACCAAAGATCCCTGAGTGCAGAGTAAAGAATAAGTCCTGAGCACTACTGGGTGGGGCCCAAAAATGGGGAGAGAGAGACAGAGAAAGAGAGAGAGGGGGGAGAGAGAATAGCAGGAGTGAATTAGTGCCTGAGACCTTCATCAACTCACCAGAGACTTCTTAGCATTGCTCTGCTAAGGATGCAGGAGTGCTCTGCAAACCTATGCCAGGAATGCCACTCTCCATCTGACCTTTAAGGACTTTATCTCAGCTTTCTTATGAACTATGCCTGAATATATGCCTGCTTGTGTTTATCCAAACACACTCATCTGCATGCCTTTCTCAATAAAGTGCTGTGCACAGATATTCAATCAACCAGCCATTATTGCAGTTAGTAATTATGCACTGAGACCATTGTCACAATGAGCAGAACAAAACTTCTGCCTTTACGATTATCAGTGGGAGAGACATAATATAAACATAAACAAGTAAATATAGTTGGTTGGTTGGTTGGTTGGTTGGTTTTTTAACCCAGCTGAGACGTACACTGTGAATAAGCCAAATAAGAGTGAGGAATAGAAACATAAAGTGGGAGTAGTCAGGGAGAGTATTCCATGGGGAGATCATCATGTGTTAAGTGTAGTTGATTATGCAAAAGCAAATGCATCACAATCCTTGGATAATACCAATTTTCATGCTGTGGGATGTAATGATCATACAATAATCAAACATGCCTATGTCTGACATGTACAATCACTTTGTAAATAGCTACACAGAACTGTAGAAGAAAATTCTTTGGGGTATAAAAGGGCTGGAGAAAATATCCCAACAGCACCTCTTTTCTTACTAATTAAGTAGTTATTGTAACATGTATGACATTTCCAGGGAGGTAAGCTATGTGCCTCTCACACGCCTTCTCACTCACAGGAGGGTGGATGGAATTCAAATGAAACCCATTTCATCAACTTTTTCAAGATTTCTCCAAGAAAGGAAAATTTTCAAACTAGCCCTACAAGGGATCCCCCCACCTACACAGCTCCAGGCAGTTCCTGTTGAAGAATGTAGAACTAAGGAAACCATTTTCAATCCCAGGAGGGGACCCTCAGAGAAGGCTGCCCTCCAAAGTGCTAGTCAATAGGAAGGATGTTTGCCAAACTGGGAATTAGGCTGTGGATGACGCAGCTGGCTTGGGCTCACTTCAGCAAAGAGACATTTGTTGGAAGACTCTGAAAGGAATAAAGGGGCTAAAAGAATCAGCAGGAAGATGAAAGGGTGGGCAGGATTTGGCATGAAGAATACAGGGGACGACTTCCTGGATTAGCAGTGATGCCAGGACAGAACAGCCTCATCTGTGTGTCCTGGCTCTGATGCATGCCTACATATAAGTAAATGCACATACCGATTCCTCAACCCTGGTGTTTACTCAGGTCCCTGACAGAAGCCTCTCATTCCTCCATAATGCCCATCTCATGCCCATCCCTTGGCTCGCCCACTGGGAAGAGGGCACCAGCTGGCACTGTGCTGGCA